TTAAGAGGACCTGAAATATAAAGAGAAAGTGGCATCCATTTAAGATAACTGAATTATAGAGCTCAAAAATACTACAGACATGATAAACATGATCGAAGCTAATATTATCAGGTGATGCTATTGCACCTACTGACCCTCAGATTCTCTGAGCTAACAATTCCAATACTCATATTTGAAGAAGCATAAGCCATTAATTTTCCATTATCACTACATAAAACAAATACTTAAAATCAATTTATCCATTCAAAAGTCTTATTTATTGAAGCATATGATAAAAGATAATGTTTGAATACTTACCTGATTTCAAAAGCAACTATTGGCTTTTGAGAGACAATTCGCTCAGCCACTTTATCCCAAGTTTTCCGATCCCACTTAACTATAAATGCTTTATTACGAGATGTCGAATTGACTACAGTGTAAAGAAATCCTTCAGATGCTTCTCTTCCAAATCTACATGAATAAAAGAATAGATAGATGCATGCATGCATCGTCATCATCATCATCATTATTATTAGAGAATTATTCGAACCATAATTTTATTTTTGCAATCATAATTACCTGCATGCCCTGAATAGACATTGCGTAGTCTTTTGAGAAATAGGACGATCAATGGTCTGGATACATTTTCCGTTTTGAGTAGACCATACGCGCAGAGCTTTCGGTGAAATGGCTACCACCTAAAGATATATTAATTAATAATAAAGAAGAAAAAGATCATAGCAGTGTAATATTTACACAATGAAAATATTATTTTTTGTCATAAAATAACAGACCTGTTTGCCAGTTGTATCAAAATCAACATCATAAATCTCTTTTTGATCGTAATTCATTGGTGGAAAAGCAACATCAAGTGATGGATACTTTAAAACCGTCAACTACATAAAAGCAATACAGTTAGACCTTAGATATGATGGTAGAATTATAAGAGTTCAAAAAAAGTCACATTAATACCCTACTATCAGAGCCACCAGTCGCTAAATAACGTCCATCTTTACTGAATGCGGTAACTTTCTTATATTAATCCACAAATTATATAACAAAAATAATTATCAAGTGTATCTCTCTTTGGAATGAATTCAGCATCATTCGATAATTATTTTTAGCCTACTTGATAATCGTTTGGATCTTTACTTGTTAATGTTTGTATCTTATTTACTAATTGAATCCTAATATAATATTAAAGAAGTGAATTAATAAATGGATTTCTGAAATGACTCAGTAAATTAGCATACTTCTCATTAGAATATCTAAAAATTCGACAATTTTGATTTTCACCAGCTTTAATCGTCTCTTCATTGCTATTAATAGCGCAAGCAACCACATTATCCTAATACATACATAAAAAATTAATTAATCAAAAAAAAAGTGATCATGTAAAAATCGGTCTTTTCAAATTCTCAATCTTTTTTAATGGAAAATACCTCGGGATGAAAAGCCATGCCAGAGGGTGCATCTTCGTCCATAGCAAGCTCGATTTCAGAAAGTTTATCAATCTTCCAATTTGTTACTTGCAAATTATATAGTACCTTGTGATAAAAAAGTTATTTTCATTGCTTTCAATATTTTATTTATTTAAAAATGATAATAATGACATATTCTTTAAATACCAGTTTATTTTTAACACCCGTCCTCGATGCGCCACCGCCACCTCCAATTAGTAGTTCACCCGCTGGACTGAAGCCTGCACCAAACCTTTTAGCCTTATTATAAAGATTCAAATATATACATGTAGATAAGGCTCTCTTGTTAAATACCGGCACAATAAACGGGAAAATCGACCTCCCAAGAATGTTTTTCGATTTTTGGCATATTGTCGTAAACTCGGAGTTGCTTTTAGGCAGGTACAATCTATTCGAAAAGTTTTAT